GGAGCGCACACCCAGTTTGTAATCCACAAAGTAGTGGCTGAGCTTATCCAAAACAGGCAGGATGGAGTTGCAGGAGATCGGGGAGTTGGGGGGCGGTGGTGGTGGTGGTGGTGGGGATCTCCTGCTGCCCCCTGCTGCCTCCAGCCAAGAACAACAGCTTAGTCCCAGCGGAGGTGGATTAGAGCAGGGTTCCTCAACCTTGGCAACTTTAAGATGGGTGGACTTCAACCCCCAGAATTCCCCAGCCACCCTTGCCAAGGTTGAGGAATCCTGGATTAGAGGAAGATAACCGAAGAAGGGGTCTCCAGCCAAGAACAACAGCTTAGTCCCAGCGGAGGTGGATTAGAGCAGGGTTCCTCAACCTTGGCAACTTTAAGATGGGTGGACTTCAACCCCCAGAATTCCCCAGCCACCCTTGCCAAGGTTGAGGAATCCTGGATTAGAGGAAGATAACCGAAGAAGGGGTCTCTGTCCAAGTGTCCGTCTGTCAGGGGAATATTATTCGCAACTGTCCAAAGTTCTCCAAACCACAAATTCTAGTCCCTGTCTGTTGTTTGGGATCTGGGGCAAATATATAGACCAGTGTTTCCCAATCTCTGCAACTTTCAGATATGTGAACTTCAACTCCCAGAATGGCTGGGGAATTCTGAGAGTCGAAATCCACACATCCTAAAGTTGCAGAGATTGGGAAACACTGGTATAGAAAAACCTTATTAAAAAAAAAATCTGCAGAATCAGTTGTGTGGTGTTGGCCCTGTAGTCCCCCAAAAGCTTATTTGCTTTGAGTAGTGTAGTGCAGTCTCGGACGTGTTGGATGGGGACAAGACCTGTGTTCAGGTCCTCACCCACCATGAAGAGTGGTGTGCAACTATGGGCCAGGATTTCTCTCTCTTGCCCTGCCATGTAGGGTTATTGTAAGGATAAAATGAGGAGAACTCCTTCTTGAGTTCTGAGGGGAAAGGGAAAGAAGTAAGCAACCCAGGTGGGGGTGTGATCACACGTCTTTGTGCAGGACTGAATGCACATACAACTTTTCTCTGTGTTGCAGCATCAGCCCCAAAGATCTGAAGGCCATGCTGCCCCAGGTCAACTACCGCGTGCCTAACATGAGATTCCTTCGGGATAAACTTGTGGTAAGCAGATCTATTCATTTATTTATTTGATTTAGACGCTGCCAGAGATTTCCAGCAGCAGATACCGAACCCCAAACCTGGGCAGACCTTCGCCTTGTCCAGGCCACATGTGAGGAATAGGGTGGCAGAGGTGTCATGGGTCACTGGTTCTTAACCTTGATTGCAATGGGAGTGCCTATGAAGGCCATCTGCTAGGAGACTGAACTAGATGGTCCAGGGGTCCGATCCAGCAGGGCATGGCTTACATTC